CATGAAAGTATTATTTATCTTTTGCTGCCCTAAGGAGTGGCTACACACAATACACTTTGTGGACATTGTTGCCTGTTTAATGTTCAAACAAAAAAAATGTTAGTTTCTTTGTGTTATTGTGCTGTGCTGAGGCACCCGTTGGGACTTGGGGTCCCTTGTGTTGGACGTGGTGTATACACATACAGAGCACACAGTAGCCATGGCTCCAAGCAGCTGTTGAATGAGGCTCCTGGGGCCACCCTGTGCTTTTACTGTGGAGACTGTTTAGTCAATTTGCCTAGGATCTTTGGGAAACTCTTCGGTAGAGCCCAGAACTGAGTCTCCCGAGTACTATTCAGTGCCATCCTCACCAGATATCCTTTCTTTTACACAGGTCAGTCAGTTGCTGTGTGCCATGGAACGACCACAGCCCATCTATATTTTAGCATCCTTCCTGGCCATGGTCAGGTAGGCAGAGTACATGAGTGCTTGGAGGCCACTGTGCAGGGATGTGCCGGTCACCAGATAGGGAATATGCTTCAGCAGGAGCTGTGATAACTAAGACTAAGATAACTAAGAGCATACTAAGCAGCAAGTAGAGATTCGAGCATGTCCTTCTGGGGAAGGGCCTTTCCACTCTGCTGGGGAGGGAGGACTTTTCTCTGTAGCTGCAGAGCAAGCACTGCCCTGGGGGAGCAGGCATGGAGCTGGGGTGATCTTCCCCACCTCCCCTGCCAGGCCAGGCTTTGTGGCAAGGGCTCTGCAGGTCCCACATTCATCTGAATGTGGCACTGCGGCAATTTTAGTGCAACTGTAACCGGGGGGTTTGTGACTGCTGTCACTGTAATTATCTGTCTGGTCAATAAAATGAAGGGTACTGAGTCCTGGCAGTTTGGGAGAATGAAGACTGACTTAATTACAGCAACCAAATTTCTCACATATCTCCTGTCCACTGAAACACCAGCCAGCCTTCAGTGCTGCCCTTTAACAGAGCTGTCTATCATGCATCTAAACAAACAAGTAGGGAAGACAGAGGGGAGATTGTTTGTCAGGGATGTGTCTTTGCGAGGGAGGAGCAGCAATATCTGCAGGAGGAACTGAGGTGAAACCCAACATCAAAGGCAAGAGGCTGTCAGCACATTTAACTTTACAGAAACCCTTCTCCTAATAAAAAAGGAATGACCTCGTTACTACGGACACTAACAGTTCCCAGGGGAACACCAGGAGACTGCTGCCTGCACTTTTAATATTCACTTTACAAACAAATGGGAAACCTTGAAATAATTTCGGTGTTGTTCTTGGCAAGTTGTTACAATGTTGTGTCCTTATAAAAATCATTTAAGAATTTATGTAGTGTGAGTTTACTTTTCATCTGATGCTTTTCCTTGCTATCAATCTCCCTTCCTCTCACTGCCCTGAGGGAACGGTCAGGATGCCCAAGGAGGGAGGTGCCGGCCATGACAGCATGTTCAGCAGGAGGCACTGTTAGGCTTGGCTTTGATTGCTGAGAGAGGACGCGTTTCTGGAGGTGATGCTCTAAAACTGTATCTGGACCTGGGCCACAGAGAACAAGTGAAGTCCCATCAGGAGGCAGTGCCTGGGTGAAGTGTAGGAGAAGTTTTGAGCTGGCTGCAGAGCTGGGGCAGGGGTGCATAGGGGAGAGCAGCCCCAGTGGAGGCTGGAAGGATCCTGCCTGCTGCAGCACCGCAGGTAGCCTGGTGTGGTGTGGGGATGCAGGGTGGCCCAGTTCAGAGCTCTTCTCCCAGCTTCTCCCTGCAGGAGTCACCACAGGCAATAATGCTAGGAAAGCTAGCATGGAGAAAATCTGTGTTTCTTCCAAGCCTCTGTGAAAGAATCAGGGATGGAGAAAGCTGTTGCTGCAAACGGAAAGAATACTTGCAAAGTGCAAGGCTCTTCAGTCAGCCAAGTATCTGCAAATTTCATGAATGGTCTCTTTTCATGGACTAGGCTTTCTCCCCAAGTCTTCATGGTCTGAGTGACCAGAAACCTTCCCGATGTTTTCTTGGTGTTACATTTGCTGTGTGGTACCTGAGGGAGGTTTGCAGAAATGGCCTCATTGACTCTTAGTGGGGGAAAATGCTCTGTACTGGAAATAAACCCTTAAAGCTAATGCCTCAAGCTATTCAGTAGCAGTCCACAAACTCTCACCCACACTTTAGCTAGTGTGCAGCCTGGGAATTACCCCTTCCTCTCCTGTCTTTTGCACACGTTGATGTGCAGGATCAGGCACACCCCAACACCCCCCTGAAAATATAAATGTGCATACACATATATAATTTATCTCCCATGTGCCTATCCACATGCACACACAAAAGAGCTTACTTCTGTGCATGTCAGTATGTTTCTCCTTACTTGTCTCTGTTTGGTCACACAGGGCCGTCCATCCCCGGTGCAGATTTGCTGCCGATTCTCACAGTCGTGTACAACACAACTTTATGTCTTGGGTTCATCATACAACCACACCTGAAACCAAACTGTGGGAAAGGTGGCTCGTGTTTGAATATCTGTGATTCATACTTTACCTGTTCTTCTAAACACCTGCTTAGCCTCACTTTATCCCAGACTGTATGAGCTGGTGATTTCTGACTATTACTGCAAGGCAAAAGGCAAACTCGTGCTGTTCCTCTAGGCTTTCCAGCGCAAGGATGAGGTACAGAAGAGGAAAATGTAATGATGGCAAGTAGACTGTGGGAATGACACCATTCACTGCTACTCTAGATATCAAAGAACCCACTAATGAGCGATTTGCAAAAGACACTTTTGAGCTATTTTGAAGAAAATCATTGACTGCTGTGAGCAGGAGAGTGCAGATGGCTTCATGCAAGCGTGAGCTGGTCTTTGTGGCTGTGAGCCATGCAAGAACCATAAGCAGCTCTTTCCACCTCTACACCCTCCTCTGTAGAATCCTACCAGTCACCCACATCATGTGGGCAGAGCTAAGGCTGCACAGAGGTCTAAGCCAATGAGCATCCCTGTCTTCTACAACCAGGCAATGATGAGCCATCTGTCCTTGTACCGTCTGAACATCTCTAATAGCCATATGGATCTAGCATTTTTCTCGCTAGTCGTCTTCTTTCTTCCCAAATATTAGAGCGGTAATGGACAAAATCCAGTCTGAAGGTTTGTCATTGTCAATTTGTCATTGAAAATCTTCACTGAATGGTCCCTTAGAAGTGCAGAGAAGATGCTCTTTAAAGCACTGCAATGAGATCTAGGCAGACTCTGGTCCACTGTTGCTTCTTTGCAGAAGAGTAGAGTGGAGAAATGTAGAGTGGAGCTGGAAATTTTATCTCCTTTGTAAAGACCTTAGAAATCTATGTACCAAACATTACAGGAAAAGCCAGATGTTAATACAAAAAGATGGGCCAGATTTCTCTTTGCTTGAATGATGTAAATAAGCTGCCCTGGGTAAGTGCAAAGGAAGTTATCCTGTGTTAAACCTCAGAGCCAATGATACAAATCACTGAAATGCTCTTTTGCAAAGGTCCTAGGCACTTATAAAGTTGTACTTCACTGGGGTTTTCTCTTGATTTGTTCTGGCACGTTTGCTTATTCTGATTCTCTGTTATTGCAAGTTTCATCTAAACACTGACAGGAATTTGAAGAGGTTAATAAAAGAGGAAGATAATTTCAAAGTACAAGTGCCCACTTGTGCACGTGCCCACATATTTGTAAATAATTCCACATTCAGTGATTGTCATTTTGAGTCTTTGGTGGGACACACCATCACAATTCAATTTGGAGTCTCACATTATTGCCAGCAAGTCAAAAATAGGAGGATGGACTCTCAAAGACCATCTTCATCAACCTCACCGAATTCCAAGAGACTTCTACATGCACACCTAACATTGAACAAAGATACAGCTAGGCAGTGAATTAAAAAATAGCTAGGTATATGCCCAGAACTGCTAGTGCAAGTGGGCATGCAAAGGTCCATGGATTTATGACATAAGGAAGGATGGTTGTAACTAGCAGTTCAAAGAGAGACAGTAGAAAATCTGGGATCACCACCTGGCTCTGTCACAGCTTTCCTTTGTGTCCTTGCCCCATTCACTTAATTTACCTGTTCTCCAGCTAAGGCAAGGAGGCAGTAGCATCTCCTTAATGTTCCTGTACCTTGAGACTGTGAAGAAGGAGGACTTTACTCTCTCTGTGTTTGTATACTCTGCAGCAAAAGGGAGTCCAGATTAGAGCTGCCTAGATCTGCTGCTGGTTTCCAAAGTAGTTATATCAAATATCAAGACCAACAATAAAACTTCACAATGTTTGTCCATTTGGGGTTGAAGGATTTCTTCAACAACCTGGAATGTAAAGTTTGGCTACAGTCTCAAGTGCTAATTTCTTGTTTTCTTGTTATTTTAGGTCATTGAAATAAAATTCAAAATACTCATCCTCTCCTTGTTTTAAATCAAGAGAGTATCTGCTTTAAAAAATAATTAACTACTCATTCACATTTTCTTCTGGTTCACTTTTGGGTCTTTCTTCCTCCAACCAAAAGGTTGCAGCACAGTGGCACACCTGGCAGAAGTGCTTTAGCCCGTTCAGCTGCAATTTTCCAGAGAAACCTCTTTGCTGGATATTCCTTGTGAGGCTGGGGGACAGGACAGGTTTGTGTAGCTGTCTGCATTGGAGGGGAAGGTTGCCCTCCTCATGCACCTGACCATTGGCTTTAAGAGCGTGGGACACTTGAATGACGCAGCAGAGATATCCCCTGCGAGCAAAGAGGTAAGAACAGGTCCTCTTGGTGAGATGCTGTTATTCTCCGGACAAGCCTTCTGCCTTTCTAGGTGGGGTGGTGTGGCCTCTTTAACCCCATCATTGGATGAGAGCTCCCAAATTAGTGTAATCATCCAACCCAAATTAAGAAAGTAGCTTCTGGCTCCTGGCTTCACAATCCAGTTTTGGGCATCCCCTCTCAGCCTGACGCCTGCATCCCCCTCTTCCTCCTTCTCCCCTGAAGCCCCCTGCTTGTGGGCTCCTTGATATTTTCCAGTCCTTCCCTAATGAGCACTGCAGAATTACAGCTAATTAAGGATGTAAATGATGCTGGAGAGAGAGAGTGAGGGAGAGGATGGGAAGGGGCGGGGGGGAGGGCAGCTACTTGCTGTGTGCAACTCTGCAGTAAAGTGTCTCCTACCTCAGCAGAAAAGTTATCACAGGAGACAATGTCAACTTTATGGAGGGGGGAGGGCCCTTCGCATGGCTCCGTCCCTGCCTGCAATAGCTGCTGCCTCTCTTTTATGTGTCAGCGCTGCAGATGCTGATGTCCTCCCTCCCAAATGCTGCTTTGTCAGATGGTGCTGTCACTGAGCTCTGGTCTCCCTCTCCTGCGCTCGCGGCCACCCTTGCCCATGTGCTGCTTGGGGGCTGAAGGGCTCAGAAGACCCCAATGCCTGCAGGCGCTCTGGGTCCATGACCTGTCATGTCCCTCTTGCTTGCAAAGGGATTTTGCCC